GATGGATCGTCGAATTGTTTCTTCCGTGAGGATTCAAGGCTCCACTTTTTTATGCCAACGCGCGGCAAAGAAGTGACTATAGGGAACGAAAGGGCCTCCTATATGCCGGCAGGACGTCCACGTGTCGCGTGATTTGCCGGGGATTCCCGATCGATCTCCCTGCTTACGATGCACTTTTATTTTATAACTGCAGTTCACTGCAGATCAATCGATCGTCTCCCTTCATCTTGCTTGATTAAAAGGTACACTCAAATTTCAAGTGCACATGAACAATGTCCAAAGCAAAGTCTCTCACAATTGTTCCTTTAATGATCCGGTGTTATGAACCCAACGTGGACTACGTGGTTTAAGATTAATGTCACGTAATTACGTTGCGTAACGCTAGATTATTCCTCGAGGAGTTAAGGTCACGAACTTTGCACAGTAATTGGTACACAATAATAACAAAAACCGAGGTGCGGCTGGAAATTTCGATCAAAGGGACTTTATATCTGATTATAGGACTAACTGATAACTTGAAAGAGTATAAAGAAATTCTCATTTTATATTATATAAATAAAATATGAAATTTCAGAACAATTTGTACGCAAAGAACATAAAAATTAACATAAATCGATTTAATTATACATGTAGATGAAACGTGGAAGTCCATCGTGAATCAGCGGGGGTGTAGCCTTTTCTATAGCTCCTCCATTCATTCCTACGCACCGACTTATCCTAGTCTACCCACCGGAAATTCACCACAATCGATTTCTTTCACTTCATCTTTCCATCCAGCATGGTCACCATTCATCACAATTTATAAAGGATGAAATAGAGAATAGAAAAAGAAGTCATATTTGATTTCGTTTAAAAAGTAATAACTCCATCTGCTCGGATTTTAGATTGTAATCACCAACTTCGATGTAAAATTAACGAAAGAAAGAAGATAGCAAAAGGAATAAAGGAAGAGAAAAGCACGTAACACCGTGTTGATTGATCGTCCATCGACACCAAGTCTCATTTGGACGCGAGATAACACCGGACAGTCGCGATAGTATACATATTCATGCGTCCTTCGACGATGGCGTCTCGACGTCAAGTGTGTCGCTCCGAGGGACAGCCACGAACCACGCTACCTCGGCGCCGCCGTCGTTGTCCACGTCGCCATTCTCCTGCCCGGCGACGTTTGCCGGCATCGACGCCCCGTGTCAGTGAACCGTCGCCGGCGAAACGAGCACCGAACTTGTTGCACCGCGACCAGGAAGCTACGCGCAAGCCTCGTCTTCCGTTCAGATCGCCATCCACCTACCCCTATAATCGATGGAAATATCGTCAACAGAAATTGGTCGATAAAATAGATAAAAATTTACGGATCATTAACTCTTTAAGGACATTCTGTAAATTGACTTAAAAGGTTTCAAAGAAAGTATCGCGTTAATATATAACGGGTTAAATAATTTAGCAAAATCAAAAAAAATTAAGGATGAAAAACATTAACATGAATTAAGGTGAAAAACATACACGAAACTGATAAATATTATCTATATATATTATATAACTGGGCATTGAACTTGGGGGATTTCGTGCAGATAAGGAAATGCTGAAAAGAGGAATTTATAATCACCATCGCTTTACAGAGATTCGTGACATTTCGTAAAGTTTCGTAAAGATTCGTAAAATTAAGAATATTGCGGCAGACTTTGGAAAATCCTGAAGGAAAGTATCTATACATTGTATAAGTATTTTGCGTGCAGAAGATTGCGATTTCTGAGAAGGAGCGTGGCTGTTTCGCATTTAAAAATTTCAGAAGAAACGTAGCGTATTTGCATATATCGGTGTGATGTCCGACATCGATGTCGTTAATAATACATAAATATTGAACAATTATAATCTTAACTGAGAACGTTCGAACCGCATAACGCAAATCGACCTTTGCGTAATAACGGCTGGTGGACGGTTGGTCAAGTGGAACTTTGATAATTAGTAGCACGAAACGAAATGTTCCGTATCGAATAACTAACAATTTAAATCATAGAAGTGCAAAACACGAAGAGAAACAACAATCATTCTAGGACATAGGATTACCAGGTGAAAGAAACTAGGACAACATTTGATAATGCTGGTAATTGAAGTTTCGAAAGACTTAAGTTGAAACGACTCGATGTTGTTCAACATGCTTCAGTTTGTTCCCGTGCTCAATATCTTTTTTTAACAATCCCTAGGTGGCTTGCATTTCTTCAAGCCAGGAATACTAGACTTATCGGACGGCGACTAGAATGATTAGCCGCATAAAGCTTAAGAATTGCAGAATGCATGATATAAATACAAGATACAGAAGGCGGCCGCCGCGAAGGTCGAACAAAACAAGCGATAACGTTAATACTACACATTCGACCGACGCTCCTCTTTGTATAAAAATTTCCAACTAGAATATTTGTCAAACATTTTGAGACCTGTAAAATATCTGAGAATTTATTATTGTGATCCTATAATATCCGTTTAATATCAGAAAATATTTCTCGAGATATAATTTTTAATTGTATTTATTTCATGATTTCACATCGTAAAGTTGATTTGTTGCATTACAGTGGTCATCTTTATAATATTCCGTCCACGGAGGGGCGAATAGTCGATACTTTGGTAGAGTTGCGTGTTCGCCACGGAAGGCGGCTGACCAGATTCGTTCTTCAACCACTTAAGTAATCGAGCGGCCGAGCAGCTCGTATATCACAGTAAGCGTGAATCAGCGGGATTCGGTGAACACCGAATCTCAACTTTCTCTCTATTAGACTATTTGAAATTTGTTAGGTTTGTTTCTGTCTGGAAATGTACTCGACTGAAAAAAGGGGAGGAAAGTTGTCGTTAATTCCGAAACTAGAACACTTTTTAGTCTAGAATCTTTTTTATTTTGTATTTTTAATATTATTGCAATATGTCGTAATTCTAATATTATTCCATACTTTCAGGAGGGTGAAGTTAGAAAGTAACAAGTGTAACATTTTATTTAATTTTGTATCTAATTATTTAATATTTGTTTCACTTAGATCCGCTATTTGTTAGAAGAGTTGAATGCTATAAAATAAATATCAAACAAAAGCAGTTTTGTCTTACTGAAATGATTGCTGATTGCACGCTTGAAAGCTACCGGAAATCCATAGGGACCAAGCAGGTCAACGGGTTTCGTGTCACGGAAGTACCGATATCCGATTAAGGGACAAGCCATTAGAAAAAGGGAAAACTTTTTTAGTCCAGAAGAATAAAAAAAAAATGTGCTACGATGATTTCACGCGATACTCGAAACTTTTCCGGGCAATCAAGCAAAAACAATAGACAGAGCCGTGTCTCCCTTCATACTATCGACTTTACAATAAAACTGGAAGAGCCATTGGCCGAAAGCTACAATCGTTCTCTTTTTTTTTTCTTTCTTTATACAGTTTCAGAACGGTAGTAAAGTATCGTATTTGCGATAAAGATAAGAAGCTCAAATGATATCCAACATTGTTCCATAAATGTCACGAAGGTGCGTGCCTGAAAAACTGAACTTAATTAGCGCGCATTATTAAAGAAGCACAGAAGAGTATAAAAAACAATAATTGCTTTAAATGTTATCATTTTTATCGAGAAAAACAATATGAGAGATATAGTTTCTCCATTCAATAGCATATATTTTAATATCTTTTCTATGAATTATCTTTTTTTATTCATGATATTCGTTCTAGAAAGCTAAATTGTTAATTCTGTGAAAAGTACAGCTAATAAATGGCAATTTGCAGTTTTATAAGCGTAACACATATCTTGAAGTAAAATAATCATTACAGTACAATTATAACGTATTTGCATTGTGGCATCTACTCGAAGCTTTCACTCTACAGTTGAGTGGCCTCCACTTATACTGTTGCCATCGCCTGTCTTCCTTGCCTTTAAGATATACGCTTGTTGTGATACATTAACTAGCGTTGCTCATGTCCCTCTTTGCACTACTACGATTCATGAATTTCTAGGTTCGATAGATACTGATAAACTACTGCAATCACGTTATAGTCTTTATCTACCGTTACAATATTAAATTTAAATAAACTTGACAATATTTATACTCATTGAGAAAAATATCACAGGATGAAATTCGCATCTCAAAAACAATTATGAAAATTTCGTATTAAGCAGCTATCATGCATATAATTAATGATGCAATCACGTGGCTATATTATACATACATAATTATCATTATCATATTATCATTGAATATTACCACGATTCATGAGGTTGATTTATCAAAAGATCTTTATCTAAAGGTATTCAAAGACCTTGTAGGTCAACGCAACGAGGCACAGGAGCGTTCACATGGAATGCATTTGTTTCCGGGAATGGCAAGATAAGGTTGGTACGTGGCTAAGGCGTATTTTTCATCGCTCATTGAGGAAACATCATGTACATCATAAGGATTATCAGGATCGTTTTAACGGTATCCTTGTGTTTGAGATTTTGGATGATATTTGAACGAATTTTATATTTGAAACGAACCATTTCTCGTGTTCTTGGATCATAAAACGAAAAATATTGAATTAAGTACGAATACATGGTAATTTATTAACTAATTTTTTAACCTACTGTTCTTTTTCACAAAAAGCCCTTACCTGCTAACAAGGAATTAGATGAAATTAAAGAGAAATAAAAGTAATAATATTTGATATGTAATTTTATGGTTTCGTTTAAATTAATTACCTTACCTACTTCTTTTTTATCTTTTTCTAAACAATATGTATAAATTATTGTAGAATTTAACGTATTCGGTCTGAAGGACATAACATTGTAGTATCGGTTACGTGATGCGTGTTTTTGATTTCGTGCCGTGGTCGTAAGTTGCACGACACTACCACGATAAAAAGACGTTGATTTTATCCGAAATAACGGTAAAAATAACTAAAGAGGTATCACACAGACAAAAAGCAAAATAAAGAAGAAAGGAAAAGAACGTATCCTTATTTTATTCCTGTATTTTATTCGTATTTTATTCCTGTTCCTTTCTTTAATTCAACAGTATGTATTTATTGTTTTTGCAAATCCAATATAAAAGATCTCAATATATTTTACGTAAGAACAATAAAAAAACGTCCAAGAATAATAAGTTATATTTTTAAAGGGTTTTCCTTTTCTTTTTCTGTAATGTGACTTCTTTATGAAGTGATAGTCGGAGACCTTTATGAGGCAACTGCATAATCTTTCGTTCAATCTTCCTTTTCTTCTTTTTAATAGCAACTTCGTTATCGTTCTCAGAATGCTCATCGTCGTCATTTTGACAGGACTCATAGCCATCATTTTGAGACGAATCATTATCATTATCAATGTTTATTTCTTGGACGATTTTAGCCGAATCAGAAGAAACGTTTAGAATACTTGTGCTGTCACTCTTTTCTTCGTCTTTGGAAGGTCCTTGATTCGCTTTTCCTTTTCCCGCGCTTTTTCCTCTTCCGTGTCGTATTTGCTTTCTCAAGGTGTAACGCTTCTACTTCTTCTACTTCTTCTACTTCTCTGTTATTTAATGCAACGTTTCCTTTTCGTTTGTATTCTGGTAGTGGCACATCAAAGTTTCGTTCAAATACAGCCACAAAGAAACCATTGCACAAATCTATGACAGAATTGGCATAAAGACATTTATCTGAACAATTATATTTCTTTGAACTGAAGTTTAGCCAGTTTTGATTTAACAAATCCTTCACGGAAGAAAGCTTGTATGCGTCTTGTACATTTTCAAGAATTTCGTCTATTACTTGCTCATTTTCTTCTGGATAAATAGAACAAGTGCTATAAACAATCCTCTTCACATTCGGAAAATTTAATAAAGCATGTCGCAAAATGAAAACTTGGAATGCTTGTAATTGTTTGAGGCGCTGTGGGTCACATTTTTCATTGCCATGCACTATCTGTCTATCCAACATACCTATGATAAAAGAATTTCTTTACGATAAACATTTTTATTTATATATATTTATTTATATATACTCTACCTGAACCAGAGCATGTTGGGTCAACTAGAATGTATTCCACATTGGGATACTCATTTGGGTTCAAAATTAATGCATCTTTATTGACAGTCTCTACAGAAGTGGCATTTGTTATTCTAACTTGTTCACATAATGTTTTGTACCTTCGTTCATCAATTTCCACTGCGTAAATTTTTCTAGAAACATCATATATAATAGAATTATAGAATACTCAGTACAAAATAGCATAATAGGTCTCACCCTTTATTTCCCATTATTGCAGCTAAGTGAGATGATTTCATTCCAGGAGCTGCACATAGATCAAGTACTGTAGACCCTGGTTCTGGATTTAACAGGTGTGATGGAAGACAGCTAGCCTGAAGATATAAAAAAAATGGTTAAAATATTAATTGTCTATCATTTTTGATAGAAATTACCTTGTCTTGTAAAAGAATTTCTCCATTTTGATAAGCAGGGTGATCGTGAAAAGTTGTGTCAGGTGGAAAAATAAGTAATTCAGAAATATGAAAATCCTGAATAAAATTTGGCTTTTTTAAATTTTTTATGACATTTAAATGCTCTACATAACTCGGACATTTCGGCATGAAAGACCATCCCTCCTCTTGAAAATAAGATATCCCTTTTTCTAATGACACTAATAAAGTGTTGATACGAACATATCTTGCTTTTTTTACTGAAAAAAGTGAGATTCTTTTTTAGCAATTGCATGAAGGTAACTGATTTTATAATGGATGTAAAGTAAAACTCGTGCTTTCTTACTAAACTATTTATTGTTAAATACATAGTAAATTACTATATTTGCTACTGGCATTATTATATATGTACAATAATAATAAAAAATATAGAAATATATAAATCACACTTACTATATATAGTTACTACAAATATCAAATATATTATATACGTTATTAATATTAATATGTTATTAATATATATTAAAAAATATATACTTATATATATATATATATATATATGCAGAATAAGTACATTTGTTTTAATATCTAATCAATTTTTTCATTTAAACTATCTTTAGAAGGTTGATCTGCAGTTGCTTTTATTTCACTAGCATTGTCAGGCTCATGAAGTGCCTGATAAACATAACAAGCTATTATTAAATTTACTGTAATTACTGCAGCAAACACAGAAATGCAATTTGTTATGAATCTATCTATGTGAAATTCAACCTTCATAATATGCTGTACTCCAAAAAATGCAGCAAATGGTAGAGTAAACATAGCAATGCTGTATAAGAACAATTTCGCCAATATAGCTACAAAAGTCATAACTGGTCCTTGATCTTTGTTCTGATCAAACGAACTTTCTTTTTGATTTACTTTTTGTTGATTTTTATCCATATAAGAGAAAAGTCTTTTAATTCTAGGATGTCGGCTAGTAAGTATACGGTTGTTACGGATGATTAGAACCATCAATCTGGATATATAATTCTCTTACAAAGAAATTGACTTAATATATCTTAGATTTGAGATCAGATGTGGTTATTAATTTTCCTGCACACGAATGGCCCATTTCTGTAAACATAATATGCATTCATTGATAAGTAAATACAATATATTTTACCTGTTTTATGAGGTTTTTGAACCGCATCAATGTCACTAATATTGCTTAATTCTTCTCGAAATTTTTGTTCATACGCAAGTATAGTTTGAGCAGGTTTACATTCAGTTTTCAAGGCCTTCTTTCCCCAAAGTAATTCTGTTATCAGGATTTTTGCTAACCACGGTTGCAAACGAGGTTCATTCACTAATATATTAGTTTTCTTTATAAGATGATCTAACTGCTCTTCTCTTTGCAATGTATTGAGGCATAAAGAATATATCGCGGACACATTCTATATTATTAAACAAAAAGGTAACATTATTATTTGAAAATAACATAAATAAATATGTACTCTTTCGAAAACCATGTGACTATGATACTCCAAAATGAGAAAAGTGATCAGTTATTCGATGAATTCAAAATAGTTATATATTCGGTAAATTTTTCTATAGTTTAATTACTTCATTTTGCTTTTCTTTTAATATGTTTATTAGATATTAACTTACAGGATGTTTTTGTCTATAAATCAATGATTTAAGACTACCACCTTTCTCACGAACGTCCTGAACAATTTTAGCAGCAGATTTATAAAGTCTTGGAACTTTGATGGAATGCACGAATCCGCTGGTCATGTTATCGCATCAAAAGATAGTACTTTGTAATATCAAATTTAATTTTGATCACTTACTATTCGATTAATTACTGGCTTCTATATAGATATGTGTTTCGTGCATGCAAGACGAAATAGAATAATGTCCGCCATGTCATTAGGAGATGCGCACAATCTACCAAACACGTTGTAATTATAGCATGAAAAGAAAAAATCGTCTTCACCAAAAACCAAATTTAAATATGTAATGTATTCTTATAAATACATTTATTATTATTTCTTACAATTTTATCGCAAATAAATTCGACATTAGTAGTCGCGTGACGGTTTATTTAAGATTACTAAAACAATTTCCGACTTCAGTGATTCTAATAAAAATTAAATTTTTAAAAGAATGTACAATTTTCAAATTGTAATAAACTTATATATGTATGAATCATTTAATGTTACTGACAAATACATAGCAGTTATAAGGAGAATGAGATGATATTTAAAAATAAGCCTTCATTTTGTACAGAATGTCACGTGTTTGTTACCACTACCAATCAGTTCACATGTGAATTTATTTTAATGTACTTCGATCTAATCTCTAATTCGTTAGATACTTTGCAATCACGAAATGTTTTTCATTGTTTTGCGTACGATTAAAAACATATTCAACTAGAAATATGATATCAGGAAAGTCCTAACTATTAACGGTAAGATGACAATTTTCTTGGACTAAATGAAATTTTATTATAGGTTAGATTTCGGCAAATGATCGAAAAGTGTATTTTCAACTTTTTCAGTAACTAGTTTTTATTTTCCTTTAATAGAGATGTTTGAATAATAAATAAGTGATATTTATTATTGCATTAACGCGCTTCGTAATGCGTGCTTTTATTTTAAAAGTGAAATATAAAGACGTAGAAAGATCTGTTGCAATCATTTTGTATGAAACGTATACTTTAAATCGTCAGAATTTATAAATATCACAATTGATATAAGTAACGACTTAAGTAATTCATTCAATATGAGAATCAAAACACTTCGTTGTGTAATTTATTTATGACTTATAAAAAAGATCGATTAAAATTATTCCTTTGAATATTTTACAGAATATATAAATTATATTCTGTATTAATACTAAATTTAATATAAAAATGTTATAAGATGATGATAAATTGTTCTAGAAGATTTGGAGGCATTGATTTAACGGAGACATTCAAACTTACATCTCATTCATATTACAACAAAGGACACTTCAATGACTAAAGACAAAAAGGTTTTTTTGCCTTGTATATTACAATGTTTTATAATGCTTATTATGTGTGATACATTTCATATAGTTAATCATATGTGTATACATTGCACACAAGTGTTTGGGACTTTTAAATGTAAACTTTTATCTCATTAGAAGCATATAAAAATTCAGTACCGAAATGTGCATAGTATTTTGATATGTCACATTGTATTGTTCTTAATATACTAAAATTTTCTTGTGCTATATTATAATGTTATCTTTCTTTTATTTTTTTTTTTGTTTAATGTTCATATTTAAATAAATGTTGCTTATTATATGTGTTTTGTTATATATATTTAGTAAGTGCCCTATGATTCTATGTAATTGTTCATAAAATGTATATTTAATCATGTAGATAGAAATTGTTCTTAGAAGGTATTTAATTATTGCTTTTTTTATGATTTCAGTTGATCCTGCATGCTGTGCACTGCATCATCGTTCTGCCTAAAATATTGCACTGTATTTTTTCTTACTTTGCCAAACATATTACACAATAAAGTAAATTACAAACTATGGCTGCCTACATCAATCGTACAATGTCCATGATTGGAGGAGACAGCCACTTGAGATCAACAGATATAAGAACTGATAATTCTCCCCTTCAGATTTTTGTTAAAGCCAAGAAAAAGATCAATGATATATTTTTGGAAATAGAAGACTATGTGCAGGACACTGTAGGATTTATGAAATGTAAGTAATTCATTTGAAATATACAAGATTTTGAATATGAAAATATGATCTTAGGAAGATCAAATTATGATATTAAACCATTTTTACTAAAATTATTTTTGTAGCATTGCAAGCTGAACGTAATATTGTCACTGCAGAAGAAGCACAAAAAATTGATAGCTATGTTGATAAGGTTCATGCAATTAGAGATGTACTTAAAAGAGATCACATGAAAGTTGCATTTTTTGGAAGGTATATTGTTAGAATTATTGCTAAAAGGTACTAGCTATATCTGAATTATATATCTTACAAAATATTACAGAACTAGCAATGGAAAGAGTACAGTTATTAACGCAATGTTACGTGATAAAATTTTACCAAGTGGCATAGGACATACAACAAATTGCTTCTTACAAGTTGAAGGTTCAGATAATGGTGAAGCTTACTTGATTACAGAAGGAACCACTGAGAAACAACCTGTTCAATCAGTTGGTCAATTAGGTCATGCTCTCTGCAAAGAAAAGTTATGTGAAAGTCATTTAGTGAGAATATTTTGGCCAAAAGAAAAATGTTTGTTATTAAGAGATGATGTAGTATTTGTCGACAGTCCTGGAGTGGATGTGACACCAAATCTGGATGAGTGGATTGACAAACATTGTTTGGATGCAGATGTTTTTGTGCTCGTGGCTAATGCTGAATCTACTTTAATGGTGACAGTATGTATCCACTTTTGTTGAATTTTATACCATTTTACTTCTAGTTGTATGTACTTATAACAGTCTAATTACAGGAAAAGAACTTTTTTCACAAAGTATCTACAAAATTATCTAAACCAAATATCTTCATTTTAAATAATAGATGGGATGCATCTGCTTCAGAACCAGAATTTTTTGAACAGGTATGTGTTATATAAATTTATAGAAACAGATATTATGTAAATATAAGATTAATAATATAGCATTACAAAGTCACTAAAAAAGTATTTTTAAATATACTTCATTAAAAATGAATTAAGTTTTTTATATAAGAAGATTCTGAATTTTTTTTTATTAAAGCTGGTACTACATATTATTTCGAAATCCATTTGCACATAAACAACTTAATATTAGTGTATTCAAAAGTATATGTGTGAAGCACAAATTTTTTTAATAAGTAGCTGTATGCAGTGGCAGCTTTACTTAAATAATTCACATAATACCCCATTTATCCTTTAGCTGGTCAAAGAGCAGAAGGAGGTAAGTTATTCTATTTGGTAAATTTTAAGTATAGTGGAACTCATATTTCTTGATTGTAAAATGTTTTTTTTTTGAGAAAGATATATATAACTTTAATTATAAGTAAAGTCTATGCACTATGCAAGAGACACAATGTGCACAAATTTTGTAGCATGGAAAATTACTCGTTAAAATTAAGTTAATAGAATCTTCTTTTAACAATGCAATAAGTTGCATCAATTCAATGCTTATAGTATGTGATAGAAACTTGACTATGTGCTTCTTGCTTTTTACATTATTTTACAATTTATAATGTAACTTATGTTTATTTACAATTTACATTTGTGTAGGTAAGGGCACAACATCAAGAGCGGGCTGTCGATTTCTTGTCAAGAGAATTAAAAGTCTACACACCCAAAGATGCTGAAGAGCGAGTTTTCTTCGTTTCAGCAAAAGAAACTCTTCAAGCTCGTATGCAAGAACAACGTGGTCAACCTGCTCATAGTAAGACACATGATTTCTTTATTTATGGTTTGTATTAATTATTTATTTTTAATATTTTTAAAACTTTTTGTAGATGGTGCGTTAGCAGAAGGATTTCAAAATCGGTATTTCGAATTTCAAGATTTTGAACGAAAATTTGAAGAATGTATTTCAAAGTCTGCTGTGAAAACGAAATTTGAACAGCATTCTCAACGTGGAAAACATATTGCTACGTAAATAATTTATTATCTGTTTTACTCTATCTAAATATTTATTTTTCAGTGCATAAAATCAAATATACTTTCTTCAGGGAAATACGACAAACTCTAGATGAAATACTAGATAGGACACAAAGAATGAAAAATGAACAATTGTGTATTAAGAAAGATGTCCATGATAAATTAAATTACACGGAACAACAATTAATGTTGCTGACTCAAGAAATGAAGGACAAAATTCATCATATGGTGGAGGATGTAGAACAAAGGGTGTCTAAAGCTCTGAGCGAAGAAATTCGTAGATTAGCTGTACTTATTGATGAATTCAGTGTTCCGTTCCATACCGACCCACTAGTTCTAAATGTATATAAACGGGAACTTCATACACACGTAGAAAATGGCTTAGGTATTATTGTTTTTTTAATTTATTCACCATATCTTTATTTTATAAAATTTGTAACTTTATAATTTTATATAGGTTCCAACTTAAGAGCAAGACTCAGTACGGCATTGGCATTGAATATTGAAAACTCCCAGAGAGAAATGACAGAACGAATGGCAAATTTATTGCCAGAGAATAAGAGACAAATGTCTCTAAACATTTTACCAAGACGAGAACCATTCGAAATTTTGTACAGATTAAATTGTGATAACCTATGCGCAGATTTTCACGAAGATTTAGAATTTCGATTTTCTTGGGGAATTACAGCCATAATTAATAGATTTGCGGGAAGACAGGGAAGGAAGTTAACCATTGCTAATTATCCACAGGAGGTAAGATAATTTATTCGATAGTATAAAATACTTTTATAATAATAAAATTGTTATTTAATCTGTATAATCGTAGATACCACCAGCAATTATGTCTCCTGCAGAAAGCGTTGATTCTATAAAATTTATGTCAAGTACTCCAAACCATCAACCAAGATCAGACGATTTGTCATTGGCTACTAGAATCGCAATAGCATCTATAACATCTCAAGGAACTATGGGAGGACTTATAGTTGCTGGATTTGTAAGTATATTACACAATAAAAGCATCTATTTTATTGAGGGATGAAATCTATTTTACTGAAATTGTTTGCTTAAGATGTTAAAAACAATTGGTTGGAGACTTATAGCGGTAACTGGTGCTATTTATGGTGCTCTATATCTCTATGAACGATTAACATGGACTAATAAAGCAAAAGAACGTGAGTTTAAACGTCAGTACGTATCTCATGCTACAAAAAAGTTGAAACTAATAGTGGATCTCACGTCTGCGAATTGCAGTCATCAAGTACAACAGTGAGTTTTATTTTATTTTACTGAATTATTACTACTTTTACTTTATCGCAAAATTAATTTTAATATTATTTATATATAATTGCAGAGAGCTATCTAGCACCTTTGCACGTCTGTGTCATTTAGTAGATGAAACAACATCTGAAATGGATACCGAACTAAAAAATATTGCAAGTACAATACGAATACTAGAGGAAGCAACTAGTAGTGCTAAAGTTTTACGAAATAAGGCTAATTATTTAACAAACGAGCTCGATTTATTCAATGCAGCATATTTAAAGTCATTAAATTAAGCATTGAATGTCATTTTTAAGAAATATGAGTCACAAAAGATTGATGAACATCACTGTTTCAGAAAATATGTCTATGCATGTATGATAATTAATACAACTTATCAATGTACTAATCAATGTATCTGTGGATATGTTTCCTGAAACAATGATTTATGCATATAGAAGGAATGTTTTTACTAAAACATTGAATTTTTTGTAATTTAAGAAAGATAATTTGTTTTTAGAGGGATTAGCACAAAATGTCTTACATCAATAGACTTCCAACAAATTTTTTAATTTTTTTCTTTTTTTATAATTTATTTCATCAAATAAATCATGCTAAAACAGATCTTTTTACAAATATAGCGCCAGTGTTTTGAAATATGAAATCGAAGTACATATTGATTTATACTCAAATCTATTACAGAGATATAATTGAATCTTACTTATGTAGTAAATAAAATAATGAAATTAGATTTATTAGATTATACTTATAAAAGACCTTATGTTATTATATAAATAAAAGGTTATTTATTGAGTAAGAATTATGTTCGTGTTTTTTTATTGTTCTATGCAGTGTGATCATACAAATATAGGACAAGTTTATCTCATCGTAAAATGATGTATTAAGTCTAAACGAAACGCATGACCGAAAGAAACATAACCTCGTAAAACATGTGTGAACCTCTGAAATGATTCGAATGTATAATTACGTTCAAATAAAACAGTGGAACTATGCAATCCGATTGTTTAGTGCTGTAAGTTCTTCATTCAGTATATCATTCCAATTATTGTCGATTTAGTGAACATTCATTATTTTCATTTTAATTAGAAGGTATCTTCTAACCTAAAAGCTCCTGTACAAGCTGATTTAATCGGACCGCCTGATCCGGTTTCGAATTTAAGGCCGATCATTTTTGCAAAATCTGAGGATGAAAGCCTGCTAGAAAAAAAATTCAGAGAAGCCAGAGAAGACACGCAAATTTGGAATCAAAATTTTTGGACGGAACATAATAGTACCTTCATAGAGGTGTAACATAATTCTTACATAACATCATTATGAAATATGTTTCAAATTTTAATTTATTGAATGTATTATAGGAACGTAAGCAATTTCAAGAAACTCTAAAAGCACAAGGAAAAACGTCAATTACTGCGGATGATATGTCAGTGTTTTATAAAGAATTTTTAGATAAAAATTGGCAGATGCACTTAAATTATAATATCGCATGGTATAAAAGAAATGTTAAATTACTATTCCTTGAGATCAGAGTAAGAATATCTAAATTAAAATTTAGATAATTTACAGTATTAATCATTATCATTATACATAGTATATTGTACATATTTACAATGTGAAGTTTTATTTGTAAGTTGTCAGAAGCAGAATATATATATTACAATATAAATAAATACTAGTGAATATTTATTCATATATAATTCTATTGAGTATATTAAAAAACTTCATAATCACATAAACAATTACAACTAAATTTAATTGTCTGCATACTACATAACTATTTCTTTTTTAAATAATTCTCATGTTATTCTGACAAATTTGATTCCTCAAACATCCTATCTCATGTTCTCTTTCTTCAATAATCAATGCCATGTACCTGTGTTGCTGTTTCTCACAAATGAGTCTCTTTTTATATTCTTTCACAGATTGATGCAACTTTTGATAAGCAAATTTTGCAAGTGCTATTGCCTTTTGTTTCTCTTTTTTTAAATAATCTATTTCAACTATAAGTGTTCTACATTTTTCACATTGCGATAAATATATCTTGCTTAATTTGGTATCATTCTCATTCAATGTTATTTGCAAAGATTCATTTTTCGTTCTTTCTTTGTTTAATTCATCTTTAAGCTCATTAAATTCGGAAGCAACTTGCTGGACCATCACTTCACTGTCATGTAATAACTAATAAAGATAGATATTTGTTAATACAACATTTTAATTTAAATTTAAAATTATTTTAATAAATTTACTTTAATGGATATAAAACCTTCTTTTGTTTTGAAATTGTTTTATTTTGTTCCTCTATAATTTTGTCTTTTATTCTCAATTCAGATAAATGATTTTCCTTGAAAGTTTCTAATTCTTGTTTCAGCTGGTTACAAGTCGTTGTTTCTTCACATAAACAATATTGCAAATGATCTATTTTCTCTTCCATTTCTTTAAAAGTAGAGTTACTTGACTGTAACATATTTTTCATCTCCGATATCTCGATATTCTGCCAATATAACTTAAATTAGTATAAAATCATAATTTGATGCTTGTTATTGAATTTACCTTTTGAGATAATTCTTCATTTCTTTCATGTATGCTATGTAGTTGACTATTACATATACCACTTACTTCACATATTCGTCTCTTTTGTATATTAATTACGTTTGTAAGTTCTAAAATCATATCCATAAATTCTGCTCTCTCTCTATTTAAAGCATTTTCTTTTTCTTTTACAGCATGTTTCATTCTATTCACTTCTTTTTTAACCTCCTCACACCTTGTATGATTGAAGCATGCATTTAATATCTAAAGTGATTCTTAGATTACATTTTAAAGAAACAAGAACTAATACCTGTATTCATGTTAAAAATTATTTGAAATTACCTTTTAGATTCATCCTCTGATAAAGATTGTAATTTGCTCTTTAAATTGTCACGTTCTTGCAGCAGATCTGTATTTTTATGTGCAACTTCGATTACCTGTTGCTGAAAAGATAATTATTTTACTATTAATAAAAATTATTCTTTTCTCAAGTACATACTTGTAATTTTGAAATCTCATTTAATAATTCATCCCTATCTGTTTTGACTAAATCTGCTTGATTTTTTGATTGTTTCACTAAATCCATTGCAACATTTCTTTGTTCTTCAGCTGTTACTAATACATCTTTTAAACAAGCTGCCCTTTGTTCACTACCTTCTTTCAAACAATTTAGACTGCAAGTTAAAGATTTCAATCTTTTTTCAAGTTCTTTAGTGCGTATTTTTTCAGTTAAAAGATCCTACAAATTACGTATTATATGAATTTAAAGAGCCAAATGTTATTATTTTTAATAAAACCTTTTGAATTCTTTCGAAAATTTTCTTGTCTTTTGCACAAATATCTTCTATAATGGTATCAATTTTCCCTAATTCATTTGAAATGCTTTCATCTATTTCTATTTGAAATGTTTCCTGCTTTGTTGCTTCATTCTGCACATAATTTGAGCCCAAACTATTTATATTTAATTCAGTGTGAAAATTATCTTTTGTTGGAATGGTTTGCTCGCTTTTCTCTTCGTATGTATCAATTATTTTGTCTTGAGTACACATTTTATAAAATTGTGAAGTTAAGTCTACTTGATCAGATTTACTTTGTTTCTCTGGTTCTTTCAACTCTTTACCAATTGCATCATTCATTATATTAACTTCATCCTTCAAATCTGTATGAACTAATAAACAATTTTATATTAACATGTTAATACATACTATCTTTTGCATGGATTAGTGATACTGATATACCTTCAGTTGAGGGAACCTTCTTATAAAAACGTAATTTTTTGCGTGTTTTGCATGTTATAACATTACATGGTATTCTCTTTTTAATACTATCATGTGATATGCATTCTTCAGTGCAGTCGAACCTACTGCATTGGTCTTTTGAAGATAAAATTTTGTGGGCACAGTGATAATATTTTGCAATGTTATTGTATACGTTACACTGTATAAAATATAATTTTTCCTACATTACTATTTTCCTGAATCAATTTATGTGTTATGTTATACTTACTTTTTTACATGCTGTTGTGGGATACACACTACATTCTCCATCCATCTTTTGCAATTTAGAAATAATTAAGAGTTGTCTATTCAAGGCATCAAGTCGCGTTGAAATATTGTACATTCCAAATTCTAATTAACACTTTAGAAATATTTATCATAATATTAATTTATATCTTTTTGTAAATTTTAAATTACTGACATTTAAATAGGTAATGTAATAAATGATACACATGAAACTATTGGGCATTCGTCTTGTATATAGATTGTCTTATTTTTTTATTTTGTATAATTTTTCGATTTATATATCATTGATGAACGTGTACAAAATTTACTTTTGAACAAATATTATGATACTCTTTCAAGAAACAAGGAATTAAAAAGTAACATACAAAATGCAAAATAATGGTAGTGGACAATTACTAACAGAAAAGGTAGATATATTTAAATGCCATTATTTGTACAATGTATCGTCGTTACTTAGAGTTGTTTAAGCAAAAAAGATCGCATTATATATCGTGGAATAGTTTATTCCTTTGGGGATTTGGATTATGGATAGCTCTATGTACAAGCAATGTATATCATTCAGTTATTTCAAAACAACAAGGTAAATATTACGTTCTGTATAATAAATTTATTCAACATAATAGCTTCCGTGCAGTTACGTTATTTTACTTATAAAATTCAGATCTTGAAGTTGTGTATAATATTTCGACAAAAACGGAGGCTATAGAAGAAATGTTACATATTACAAGAGTAAATTATATATACTGTAACATGATAATAATGTTAAAAACTGTACTCCAATATGTTTATGTTTTTGTATCTATATCTTTCGCAATACTTTTCGCATGTTCATATAGCAATTCCCTTAAAAAGGCGATAAAAATATGGAATAATGTGTAAGTAAAAAGTTCGTATCGTAGAAGATGAATGATAAATGATAATTATGTTTTCAATATGGATGGATTTTCATAGGATGTGCAACTTTTACTCAGCTATCTTTTATTTCACAACTTTCATAAGAAGTCGTAACAAAAATATTTTTAATAAAAGCGATTCAAATAAAAGTGTCTCTGCTATATTAGAATCTAAATTGATGCCAAATTTTGTGATAAGTACAAAATATTTAAAAACAGAATTGAGTTGTGATGATGAAGAAGATAAATGGACTGTGGTAAAAAACAAAAATAAAAATATATTGGATACAAATATAAATATTATTCAAAGTGAAATTATTTTTAGTAGTTATACATTGTTGTTTTTCAACAATTATGAACTTTATCAATACTTCAATAATCAGTATCTAAAAAATCATTTATTAACGAAATATTTCGTACGTCAAGATTCAGAACATATAAGAAGTAATTTAAAAACATCAAATAAGTATAAAAGAAATAATAATACTTCACCAAAACAAGTCATACAAAGAGGCATTGTTAGCTCTTCACCGGAATTTAAAAAATTCTTAGCAAATTTAAAAACATTTCAATTTTTTTATCCATGCATGTTAGAAGTATCTACAAATTATATGATTCGTATAAAATCAATAAAATAAAACACAATATTTTTATTTGTACAAACGTTTTCATTTTAAGTTTTTATAATATAAATATACAATAAGAAAACAGAATTCTGTATGTTAATAATCTTATATTTTTTATTATCCTAATATGTAGTACATATTATAACAAATTTTTTCATGAAAATTATGTTCTTAGAAAGTGTACAAAAACACGTGTTAGTTAATAATAATTAAAAAATTACTGTTTTTATTATATAAAATATCTTTAAAAATTTTTTAATTAAAGTAAAACCGAAATATACTCAATATATCAATGCTGGACACCCTATAGACACTGATATCATCGGGTACTCAATAGTCAGCGACGATGCGAAAACGATTGTTTAGTAACATCTGTATAAAAAGAATTGGATGAATAGTTCCAGAAGCTTTTTATTATTATTCTTGTAAACTAATAAATGTCCAAAGTTAAAATTTTATATTTGAAGTTCAGCCCCTCAAGTTTCGTGTTGGTCGGCCACTAGAACTCGTAAGTTCATAGGGCTTATGTAAGTTAGTACGATATAAGCCATAAGTTCTATGCCAGTACCATTCATACCAAGTACTATTCAGTACCAAGCATAAGTAGTAAATATTTTATAAAAAGTTATAAAGAAATATTCATCAAAATAATAGTGAATTTTGATATGTAATAATATACAAAAAAAAATAAGTGTCGTTTCTTTCATTATTTTATTCTATCTGTTTATTGTTTGAAAACATTGAGTTTTAATTAATTTGTTAAAATAGAACGAACAAGATTATTATTTATAAATTTTACAATTTTTTATTTTACGTGGAAAAAACAGTATTATATTGTACAAGCTCACAAAAACTATTTAAAGAAACTCATTAAAACTCATTATTTTTTAAGAAAACACTCATGAAATTATAGATAGCAAGAAGTCTAATTTTAGTTAAATCTCTCTCAACTTTCGCTATGAATCATCTTTATAATCTAATAAATACAAAGTTCGATTGTTCAACTTTAGAACACTTTATATTTTTTCAGAAGGGTATAAGTATGACATTATGAGGTAATTCTTAACTTAGCAAGTAATTCAGCGTGATTTATAAAATTGATATATACATATATATGTGTATATATATTTTACCAAACAAGTAGTAGCAAACAATAATCTCAGTTTCTTATAAAAATCTAATGATTTCATAACAAATATATTATATTTAAATTTTTATATTTAATTACTATATATCCATGTGGAATTAAACATATATATACACTTAATTATCATAAGAGTCTTATATTTATTTTATACAAGTATTGTAAATAAATTCGGTATATATTTACTTTATGAGTATAAATAAAAAATAATTAGTTCATCTTTAAATTACTTTTTAATTCAGTTAACAAGATAGAACCTATTACCATCTTTTCACAGTTAACACAAATTTCCAAACATTCATTACCTATAACTTTTATTGTTACTAATACTAAGGACTTTGATGCTAATGTATGAGCGGCAAATCTGCAAAATAGAAATCTTTTTAAACAAAATTTCATTTTCAACATATTACATAAAGTAATTTTTTAATATTTTAAATATTAATATCATAAATTTGTAAATTTATAACATAATTAACACATTTATAATAAAATTTGTAATATTTTATTCAATAACATTTTAAAAAATTGCCTGAATAATTAATAATCCGAATTATTAATTCAATATTCTTTTACCTTATCTCTTCATCACTGCTAGATATCATTGCAACATTCGCAGTCTCAAAAACTTTTTGGGATATAGTTTTCTTATTCCCAAAATATTGCACTTTCGCAACATGTTCATTCATACCCTTCAATTTAGTTTTTTCACATGTAAACATATTTTCTGGCAAGAACACGGCTCTTATTATTTCTCCAATTGGAGCTTTAATAGTAACTGGGCAGGAATACATGTCATCTCCAATTGCAAAGTCAATATTAAAATGTGCTGGTTGTGTGGAATCATTAAAATTGATTCCCAATGTTGTGGATAAATTTGAATTTACTTCTAATAGTGGTATTCGCATAAAATCATGTATAACCATTCCTTTTGGTAAATTCTATTAATGAAACAAATTGCTTTATAGTACTTATATATGAATATTATATATCAGTTAATAAATATTAAAAACTGATGATTTAATTGTTATAAATTATATAAATTTACCTTTACTCCTATTTGTATTTCTTTAACAGGTTCGCTACTTTCATTGGAAAATGTTAATTCAATAGTAACTAAATAAGCACTTACTAAGTGCTGCGATCTAGTAAATCTATATTCAATTTTCAAACCATGTCCCGTAATAGTATTTAATAATTCAGATTTCTTTATGGGAATAAATGAGGCTGAAATTTCTCTGACATCATTTGTAATATTCAAATTGATAGGGGTAAGAAGACTACCTGTGCTTAATGGCATAACTGGTGTCATTGGAATCACTGAAATTAACAAATAAAGTTTTGAATAAACTGATAAATTATATTTGTTATAATTTTTAAGTTCTCTCTCTGTTAAACCACCAGTAGTATAGTTAAATACGATCATATTTACCATCATCTAAATCTAAAAGGAGATCAATGTTGCTTTTTGGTTTTTCTGTTGCTTCTTGATTGGAAGCCTTGTACTTTTCCTCTTCACTTTCCTGAGAATTCTCAGATGATTCTTCAGAATCTGATTCTTCACTTTCAGACTCGCTGTTCGACTCATCAGATATCTTGGTAGATTTCTTTTTCTCACTATCATTCTCAGATTTACCAGATTCTGATATATACTCAGATGAGTCACTCCCCTCATCTGAAGAATCAGTTGTTGAAGTATCTGAAGAGTCATTTTCATTATTTAATTCTAAAAATTAAAATACTCGTATAAAATTTAAAATAGGACTATTTAAATTAGTACTTGAGTAAAATCTTGTTTACAACTGCAGTAATTTAAAACATACCATCTGCTTGAACACTTTCTTCATCACTATAAAAGGGTTTTTCTTTTTCTTTTCCCTTTTTGTCTTTCTTCTCTTTTCTATAATATTCATCTCTTGCATCTCTAATAGTGCTACTTGCAACATCTCTTACAGATGGATCAGGAGCTACATCAGGGAAAGGTGGCAAAGGACGATAACCAGCACATGGCATATCTAAATAATGTGACAATGTTCCTAACTGATATTCAGAATTTTTGAACCTAGATGTTAGAGTTGGTGCAGGTTTTGGAGCTAGAAATATTCTTTTTGCAAGCTGTGGAAGATTTTTCTTATGACCATCTTCGTCAAAAATAAAACGTCTCAAGAAACGTGCACGATCTCTAATATCGTAGTTTTGATCGTATTTCGCAAGTTGGAAAACGTATTGACAAAATGGCTTGGTTTGAATAGGATTATTTAGACACAGCTTTACAGCCAAATTTAATATTTGGAGCTTTACAATATCTTGTTCATTTACAAAATTTTTAGCCATTTTTCTAAGCACATCTGGTGCTATCTTAGGTACTCTATCTGAATATTCTCCCAAGAGCCACAAGATAGATGCTCTGGCTTGTGGTATAGTTATGAAATCCATTAATTTTGCCATATGAGCAATTATATTTTTATGTTCGTTTGGTTGAGTTTGTAACAGCTTCTTTATAACAACAACGCTTTCTGCTACAACAGCCTCTGGATAACAAATTATATTTTACTTTTTGTAATACGTAGCTATATTATAAGTATTATATATTGTAATCTAATTTTATATTTTATACAGGGTTAAAGAAACGTTCGAAACTAACGTGACAGAGATAGATTAATTATTTAATTGCTTATAAGTACTTACCGTCTCGATTACTCAATAATGAAACTAATCCATTCAAACACGTATCAGTCACTTCTTTTATATTACTTGCACATCTCCCAATTGCTTGTATACTAGCCCCAACAAATTCTTTATCACTACTAGAGATGTAAGTTTGGAATTCTCTTAGTATAACTCCGATACTAGTTTCAGTTGCTAAATTGGTCAAAATATCTAATTTCAGAAGTTTTATATGAGTAGGATCTGAAGTTCTCACAAAAAATGACTTAAGGAAGGGTTCAAACATTCCCTGTGCAAAAACAATAAAAATTATAGATTGTATCAAACTTCTACTATAAAAAAATTTCTGTATTAAATTAATATTTGCTATATGTCTAAAAATCATTTTACAATAATTATATTACCTTCCTGGCAATTGATATGTTAGCAATGCAGTGGAGAACTATGCTCTGAACTTCTCTGTGTCCTCTTAATAATCTAATTAATGCTTTGGCAGCGATCATTACTTCGCTTCGTGGAGCAGTGTGGTGATACAATTGAGATACTGCCATTACTACAGAAGCATTTCTACTTTGCAAAAGAGGTTTTGTATTTCGCAATAATAATCGATGATCTGGATCTATTGTTAATTTTGGTTTCTTTGTATTAGACGAATCAGAATCAGAATCATAAAACGGGCGATTTTCATCATCTTCTATGCTCTACAAAAATTAATTTCATATGATATAAATCTTGTATGTATAAATTGTCCATGATTTTGGAAAATTATACATACATCTACATTAGGGTTAATGAATTGTGTTCTTGCATATCTTGTAAGCATGTTGACTATAACAACTTGACCCCATTCATCGACATCTACTAATAAGTTACAGAGCTTTCTATAATTTTTATGTATCAAATCTATTCTTTCAGGACAAACCTCTTCAAATGCCATTGCTGCAGAACCCACAACAAGAGTTGTTTTATCTGATAGTAACTTTTCTAAAACACCTATTAATTCTTCTTTTTGTTCAGAATCTAGTGAATAAAGTTTAGGAATAGCATGTGCTGCAGTTTTTCGCACATATGGTGACATATCACTGGCTGAATCCTTGATAGCAAGCATTACTATAGGCACTATCATAGAAACTCTTATACTTGAAAGTACTCTTAAAGCACTGGCTCTTATTAATTGATTAGGATCTTTTAATGCTCGTTGAAATGTAGAAATAGATAAAAGTGCAAGATCTTGTTGATCTTCAGCATAACGAACCAAATAAACATAAACTAATTTTTTCACTTCAATATTTTTTGATACAACATTTTTTACTACAGCTGGGAATAATTCTGATGCATCTCGTCCCTTTGCTATCATCTGAAAAAATAATTTGTGGTAATTATTTGTTAAAATAAGGATAATAAATTAAATTAAGAAATTAAATATTTTAATGAATATTAACCTATTCAAAGGCTACATTAACATTAATCTCAATTTTTAGATATGCACTTCTTTCTATTATTTCATATTGTATGTACATTTTTAATAATTTTTTAACATATACCATATATTATCAATCTTGAACAGGTTAATTTTCTAAAATGTATTATTATGTATTTTTATTTAAGTATATTTTATAGACTTAGTGAAAGATTTCAAGAAAAATCTAGATAAATAATTAGATAAATATAATTGATTTATTACCCCAATTATACGCTTCATAGCCTCTAATTTAAGTCCATCCTTATTACTATCCAACATTTGTTTCAAGTCTTCATGTCTATAAAAATATTCCTTTAAGATACATAATTACATATTTTTTATTAACATACTTAATAATATATTGTACAATAAATAACATAACACATTTATTATTATTTAATTTTCAAATATACAGTATAAAGATTAAGTATAAAAATGTACTAGCGTCACTGTTAAAATAAAAAGCAATATATTAAATAAATATATTTATAAATAATAATTAACATAATAAATAATATAATATAATAATAACTAAAATAATAAATCTAAACAAATAAGTACAATTATCATCACTTACAATATTTTAAATATTTAATTAAAAATATAGACAGTGAAATATAAATGCTATTTCTTTATAGCTTTAAAATTACGACATAAAATTAAAATACTCCAAGTAAAAAATAAAAATAATGCAACACAATATTACATTTAAAAACAATATGTAATGTTTCTAATTGGAAAGTATGTCAAACTTCTTTGTTACATTTGAATAAAAGTTCAAATATATGTAAACATATTTTTACAAATAAAGCATATTTTCACATTGAAATATTTACTTTTTATAATCCGAGTGAAAAAATCCACCTGAAGCGGGATCAGTTGCAAGTTCTGGATCTGCTGTGCTCGACGGTCTATCATTGCTGTAAGAGCCACCGTTATTCGATAACGAATTCGCAGCAGCAGTTAACATTTTATTTCAATTTCACTCGAACCAAAGTAATTCTTCTTTCTTGTATTAAAAAAAGTCACACAGACTTTCCTATAGCACACGTGGTTATTTAAAAATTGATGACAAGATGCTTTCAGTACGTATTAACACAGATACCCATGTTACTTAGATCTTGGATCTATTTAGATTTAAGCAAAGTCCATTCTTTAAGAAATTCTGTTTTGTGTATCGAAATGTATCGAATGAAAATTTCTAAAAATAAAACAATGTGTAAACCTATTTTCTTCGTTAATTTCTTGCAAATACATTCGTTTCGTTCATTTTATTTAATAGGACTAAAAAGTACAAGTTAATGACTATGGTATTTCTAAAAATAACGATTGAATGAGCGAAACCAGATCGTGAAGCCACACGCTTTACAAATAAGTTACTAACCTAGTAACTTTTATTTGTGCACGTAGGTATGGGAATATTTAATTATGATAAAAAAAAGTTTTATCTCTTATTCTACTTGAACTCAACAATTTAACGATTTCATAAATAAAATTTGAATATTTGCTCAAATTACTTAATTATATATAAATATTAATACAATACTATAAACGATATCAATGTATTATATAGTTACAGAAACATTTTGAAATAAACATTGCAAAATTAACTTTTACTGTTATCTCAAATATGCCGATATGTGTGAATAAATATTTTATAATATATATTTTCAATATTTAGCAAGTGCTGCACTGCATAAAAAGCATAGTCTTTATAAAATAATGTTTGGAAACAAATACGATTTTTATGAATGATATAAATATGAATTTTATATATTTAACTTTGTATAGCAAAATATCATTGATATCATAAATTATTGTTTTGTAATTATTTTTATAGTTCTAAAATGTTTCGATTTTTCTTCATAAAAATAATTGATATATTAAAAACATTAAAAATACCGAATATACAAAATAAATATTTTATTTATAATCATTTGAATATTTACTTTTAAATGCTAATGATAGTAAAGTAAATAATAAATATGTATATTTCACATTTTTAAATTATGTTAATTTAAAGTTATGAAAGAGTTTATTTTGTATGAGGCTATAATACAAGTTCAACTAGTTTATTGGTATATTGTATGTTGTTTGGTAACAGCATAACAATTTTTTTCATAGGAAGCTTGCTAAGAACTTTTCTTCTCTTCAGCTGGTTTTTCTTTATTTGGTTTACTACATTCTCTGGATTTTTGTCGCCTTATTGTAGAATTCAAATCTTCTTGACAATTAGCATATGCCATACCTAATCCAAAGCCTCCACCAGTTATAATAGGCCACTTTCTTCCTAAAAGAAGATTAATATTTATATTATTTTATAATACATACATATTCATATATTTGTTAAAATATTAATAACAAATACATAATAATGACATATATGATTAAACCATGAGATTTTTCAATTATTGAATTGTTCAAAAAGTTTGTAGGTTTCTTTTATTATATCAAATGAAATTTCCAAACAAATACTGCTTTTAGTTAGGCACTAAAGAGAATAAGGGAAAGACAATGAATATTCATTAATAATTCATACCTTTTTTCAGTAAAAAATGTCAAATTTTGTATATCCAAGAACTCCTAAATAGTAGCTGAAATATTCATTTTTATGTACCTCATTTACAGAAGTACAATATTGTTTCATTATTAGTTTTTCATTTTTACAAAATTTATTCGAAAGATATAGATAAAAAATTAAATACTTCAGAAGCCTGTAAAAGCTATTTGAATTTCTTAAACTTGGTGAAAGCTTGGTGAATTTGAAATTTACTACAAAAATGGCAAATAATTTTTCAATAAAGATTTGTAATGTTGTAGAAGGTAAAAAGTCTACTTCTAATTAAATCTTTCTTAATTTTCATTACGAATTTTCTGAACAACATAATATTAAACTGTCTAATTAATAAGTTAACTATCTAATATCTAAATATCTAATAATAATATCTTATTAAGATTTCAGATTGGAAATATCGTAGAACCTAACCTATATCATGTATGTAACGAAACAACTTTCATTACCTAAAATTTGAAAGCGAAAAAAATACTTGTGTAAAAATGTAAAATTATATGAAATTGAACGTATAATATTATATTACTTGTATTTTTCAGTCAAGATTTGAAGTTAACTTCTAAAAGTTACGTATTCATTTGAACAAAAACAAATTAAATCCATTATAATATTAAATGTAAATTTTTATTAATATTAGAAAATATGTTAGGATTCTTTTGTTAAAAAAGGTATTAAGTGATTTAAGACTTACGTTTGAAAAAAAATAGGGAGAATACTCCTCCAAGTAGAATTCCTCCTCCTATGAAGATGTCGTTATTATTGTAATAAATAAATTTGATCTTTTATTATTTTAATGTCCAGTAAGAGTCGATTATTGAATTATAATTACCAAACTTAAATATAGCGTCAGTAAAACACCGATCCCATTTTCGTCCGATTTCATCTTCAGCCCAAGTAGCCATTTTTCTATATTAAAGTAGATCTATAATATTAGATGTTATGTCACACGTCACAGTCTATGACCATCAAAAAATAGTAATGTTGAGACATCGATTTATTCGTAAAAATTAATATTATAGGGATTCAGTATTTCTTTTATATTTTTCTCAATAATACATATGAACGTGTGATATGATAGAAGGCGACGAAACCAATATAATTAAGTAGTTCACATCTCGTTCAAACAACAGAGTATGTAGGAATATAAGAAATATGTATATGCTGTTATATTTTGATATAAGTCATGACAGAAAATATTTCCTCATAATTGCACACATTCGCTAGATTTGAAATGTGTTTTCTTTGACGACAAGTAATCGATTTGTTCTATAAACTGGGTAATTTAATTGGAAACTGCCCGATCTATTTTTGTAAATTTTTAAAAGAGAGAGAAAGTGGCGCCAACGGAGCTTTAGTTATTAGATTTAAAAATAAATCACTAGATAGTTTGATAATTTGTTATATTTTTTAGTAACAAAATATCACTAAATAAAGTGTCCATTATAAACATAATTTTATATGCAATAAAGTAAAATAATAAGATTAATTAATAATTTATGTAACCAAAAATATATAATTATTTTTCTCTAATTTACTATTAATTCCTTTCAATGAAAACAAATAACATATAGAAATGTAATTTTATTTAAAATAAGAGTAAATTACAAGATACTAGGATGTGGACATAATTTAGTAAAATAAATTTCTTCGTACTCTAATTTATATGAGGAACAGTTTCTATCTAAGTAATATGTCTATCATCTAAATAATATAATAAAAATACTTCTTGAACTTTTGTTTTACTTTTTAAGATATAAGAGAAGATAAACATAGAAAAAGTGAAAATTGAAAATGTATTTTAACGCCATCTCGTAATCGATTCTGTCCTATCCTACTAGAGCATTCTAAACCTAAGATTTAGTGTCCACTGTGTATATTCCATTTGACAACATGGTTGTCGAGAAACATCACTATAAAATTGCAATGATAGAGTTTCCGGTGCAAAGATAAGAAAAAAATTCGTGATTTGAACATGTTCGTTAAATATTGCAAGACGAAGAAAGGATAGTTTTAATCGATGCAGACTCGATGTTAAGTGCTGTAAATCAACTAGATATACATTCATGTTAAAACTGCGTCACAAATAATGTTATCGATTAATTTTTCAAGAACCTCTGAGTCAGTAGCCAAACGATCAAATAATAGTAATAGGAAAGCGATTGATATAGAATTATTAATGAGGTTCTCATTTTTTATTGTGATCTTTATCGTAACAACCCACCTATTGTCGACGGTCAGCGCAAGTGAGTCATTGGGAAATCCGTATAAAATATTAGGTGTTCACAAACGTGCGACCTTACAAGAAATTAGAAAAGCGTACAAAAATCTCGTCAAAGAATGGTACGTATAGGATTTTCTATTATTTCATTATTATTTTATGAAGATTAATATTCACTCTTATTTTTTTATATTTTAGAAACCATTTGAATATACTGAAGGTGTTTGCTATTAACAAAAATAAGCTATTTTATATTTAGAATTATAGGCTTCATTGACATTGTACTAAAGTATGCCAATTATTTAAGTATATCGTTCATTTGCTGCAACAATATAAAATAACTCAAAAATAAAAAATTCAGAGAAAACAAGTTTGAATGTCTTGAATCGTTATAATTTTGTAAGAACATTGTATTAAAATAGATTGTTGTAATAGGCAGATCAATTTGTCTAAAAATATTATAATATTCTCATCCAGTTTAATAAATTCACATTCATCCTTAAAACAACACAACTGTTTCTTATATATTAATGACTCAAAAACTGTAAATTTTGATTTATGTCATTATTGTAGCAAATGAGTGATATCTGATCAAAAAGCAGAGATAAATAATTTCAAATGATTTCTTATTTCTGTACCTTGGATTACAGTGTGAATGCGATGAATTGAATTTATTTTTCCAAATAAAATTTATTTCCTTAGGCATCCAGATAAAACCAATCACCCAGGTGCAGAAAACAAATTTGTGGAAATTACCAAAGCTTATGAGGTAAAATTAATACCAATAAAAAATATAACGTAATTTATCATCTCCTTTCACTAGAAATTTTCTTGTTTCTAGATTTTAACAGATCCAGAAAGAAGAAGGAAATTTGATAATCATGGAATTACAGAAGAAAGTATTTCTAGGCAACGAAGAGACAATAGTCACTTTAACAATGTCTTTGATCCATTGGAAGAACTATTTGCCAGAAACTTCAAATTTCATTATCAAAATCGAGACATTTCACTTTTCTATAAGATGAGCATCACATATCGGTTTGTATTATTCTGTTAAAAAGTGTCTAATACATATATGCATGGGTTGTATTGTATTGTTTGGGAAGCAATAACAAAATTTAAAAAGATTTCATGGTAATAAAATTAAAATTTTATTAAGCGATCCGTATATTTTCATAATGACATTTTGCCATTTATTAGAAATATTCTTAGTAATTGCTGCATTTAATGTTCAGCTAGAAATATCTATTTCAATCCAATATTATATATTTTGATATTTTATATGTTTTATAATCAGATTCCAATTTTGAAAACACTATGAACTTTCTGAGCAAATCAATACTATGTTTGTTTGTATTATTATATTATAAATATTTTAAATATGAATGATTTTTGCAGATCATTTGAAAATGTAATAGTACCAAAAACTTTACGTACACCTTATCTGATATTATTTTATTCGGACTGGTGTTTTGCATGTTTACAAGTAGAACCAATATGGCGACGTTTGATTGATGAGTTAGAACCACTGGGTCTTGGTTTAGCAACTGCACATGCTGAAAAAGAGTCTGCTTTAGCAAGGAAACTAGGAATTCATTCGCTACCATGTCTTGTTGTTACAATAGATGGCCGTACAAGTGTATATAAAGAATCTCTTTTTAGTATCCAAAAGATTGTTGGTATGTATTATATAATGTACTTCATATTTCTACTTTGTAGTGTGATAGAATTAAAGTGTTTATTTCTTTTACAGACTTCTTACGAAACAAATTTCCATATAAATTAATACCTAATATAAATAAAAATAATGTAGATAATTTCCTCTCAGGATGGATAGATAATCGAATTCGAGCTTTAATATTTGATAAGAAAGAATCTGTGAGATTACGATATCTATTTATTGCATTTTATTATAGAGACCGTGTTGCATTTGGTTTTGTTCAGGTACACTTTATTTTTACTTTACTTATTGAATTATGTAATTTTTCAATTATTTTAATTACAATTTTCTTTGTAGACGGGAAAACTAGATACTGAACTTATTGTAATGAAATATAAAATTTCTGTGGACTTGGATACTTTATTGTTATTTAATGAAAATTCCGAGAAACCTATGGCATCTGTCAGTATGAAAGATATATCAAGTGACACAATGCACAATGTTATATCAAATAATAAATTCCTTGCTCTACCAAGACTTTCAAATCAAGCAATGCTAGACTCAGTTTGTCCACCTGAGTGGTTAAGACCTCAAAAACGGTTATGTGCAGTTTTAATATCACAACAAAATAGTCCTCTTCATGATTTAGCTAGGCATAAATTTAGACAAGCAGCTTTAGAATCATCTTACAGGTAACAATGCTTCAAATATATGTGAAAATAAAATAAATATATATATATATATATATATATGTGCATTTATTATGTAATGATTTTACTATTTTCTATCATGAATGATTTGATTAATATTTTTTTATTATGGTTTATTATGACTTATAACTCACCAATATTTACTCATTTAATATGAACACAGTGTGTTATGTGATTTAACTACTTCAATAAATTTGAAATTATAGATATTTATATTACTCAATTTATACAAAATTACTAGAGAAGAAAGTATTGGATTAAACTTTCAAATGTATTAACTAATAAACAATAAATTATAAAGTTATACACACAATTTTTTCTAAAATAATTTCAATATACACGATTATTTTATTTTACAATGTTTAATTTACAGTACTGAAAGGGTACGATATACGTACGTATTTAAGGATACACAACCAGAATTTGTATCAGCATTATCAACAGGAGAAGGTAGTCCTTTAGAGCCTTTATTACATATTGTCATTATTTGGAGAAGGGATGCGAATCATTTGAAATATGAATGGTTACCTACTGGTTGGATTGAAGCTGCTCAAGATGAAACTCAGTGGAATGAAACACGTCGCAACTTAGAACAAACCATACAAAGATTATTACGTGCATCGGAAGCTTTACCATATGCCGCAGTTGTAGGAGAACTAGCAGATGAACATGCACAGGTATGCATTCTAATTTTTGCTCAAAAGAGACCAAGATTAACCTCCTATCTTACATCACAATTTAAAATTAATTTTAAATGTAATTTTGTACAGGGTACTGTAGACAAACTTATTGGAAAAGCGTTATTAGCTGTAGATTATATTTCTGATAGTCTTACTAAGGAGCAAATATTGCCTTTAGTATCAGTAATTGCTACTTTAATGTTAATTGGTGCTGCGGGGTATGGGATGTCATATCTAGCGTAAGTAACATCACGTTAAAATGATGTTTTACTTAGTTTAGAACATTCAAAATTTCGATTTTGTATATTTCAACATTCTCATTTTATATTTAATTTATATAAATTCCGTTTTGAATCTTTATATTAGTTTGAATTCTTTAAAATAATATTGAAAATAAAATCCATTTGATTATATTGGTTTTTAAAATCATACAGAAAATTAGAGGAAGCAAGTATTCAAGCTGAACGTGCTCAATGTAAGGATAATAATAAACCAATGCCGTCACAGCCACAATTGCGATTACACGAGTTGCGGGCAGAGAAATACAATGGTTTAGTTCGACTATTAAAACCAGGTTGTAGAACCATTATATTATTAGTCGACGTTCAAAGTAGATTAAAATTATTACCAGCTTTTCATAAAGCTGTGTGGCCTTATAGGTAAATTCAACATATTAATAAAAATATATTATAATTGTAATAGAAAAATAAAAAGTAATTGGTATTATTACAGAAAAAATAAAACTCTTATGTTTGGACATTTGTCTCTCGAAAGAGGGTTAGAGTGGTATAAAAAACTGTTATCTCTCACCTTGCCAGAACAAAAAGAACTAAACATAAATGCCAAGAATTGCGTTGGCACTGTATTGTCTCTAAATGGGCATCGTAAATATTTTTGTATGTACCATGCCAAACATCCAGAATGTACTAAAGGCAAAGGTTCTAAGGTAATATATGTTTTATATATGTATATATAACTATTGGGTTGACAACTAAGTGATTGCAGATTTTGTGCGGACTTGCGGATTAGATGGTAATGCGGATTAGATGAAAAAATCACTTAGTTGCCAACCCAATATTTTAAATCATGTATTTATTAAATGTACAAAGATGATAATTTTTATATACATGTATGATATTTTCATATATAGAGAATAGAACGAATGACAAAGCAGTTAACTCGAAGAACAGATGATGCAGAAGCTGGCGCATTTATAGGTTTTAATAGTTCCAATGAATCTGATGCTTCTGAAGAAGAGGTATGCTTTTTATATCTCACATCTCCTATTGTTGAGTTGCGATAATTAATATAATACAGTAATATTTAAAAATATATGATATTAAAATCAATTTCTCTTTTAAAAAATTCTTGTATTATTTATATTCTAGAAATTGAACTGTTCTTTCTATTTACAAACTTTTATATTATAGGGTGGAAATAATGTTTTATGCCAGGACAATCTTTTGGATGGTTTGCCAATGTGGCTGGATAGGCTATTTGAAGGTTTAACACATCGTTATTATGTAAATTATTGGCCCGAGTTCACTGCCAAGTAAATGGAGATTGGTATACATTTTGGTAACGTGTATACTTCTTGCAATAGAAAAGGGGATCCAACTAGTCAACAATATCATGTGTCATTTAAAAGTCCTATACAATTTAAAGGGAAATACATCCTATAATTTCACGTAAAATTAAGACATATTCATTATATGTACATGAAGGTATTATTTATTAATTTACACGCGATTTCTGTAAAGAAGAATTTTATAAATTGTTATAATAGTCGATAAAGTTCTTACAGATTCAGAATTACATTATTTTCATCAATTTTCATGAGTAATAAAAATTCTCGTCATTTTTAATAATATTTTTAAAGTAATTCTAGTCGATGCCATTAAAGACATAACAGTATTTATATTACATGTTTAAATACTAGATACTGTATATTTATATATATTTATAACATGCCAATAATTTGTCCTTTTTCCTTCAATATCAATGTTACGCTATGGTATATTGTTACTTTTATACCATTACGTTATAACAATTTCTACTTTCCATATAACATACAAGGTTTGATAAAAAATACTTGTATATCATAAATGTTAGTTATAGAAGTTATTTTAATTTTATGTCGATTTCTTTGAAACAAACATTTTCATTTAATTATTTTGTTTACATAATTTTCAATTGGGATATCTGTTTATTAATATGTAACAAAATGTTTATAGAATTTATTTTTGAATCTCTTCGATCTCATTAAATTGGGAAACATGTACTTAATGAATGCTTTAGTTTTTATATTTTTGATATATTGATATACATTGATGATACAAATAAATTACAAATAAATTTTAAAAAACTGTTCATATTAATGATAAATTTTACGACAATTAATATTTTAATTTTTATGCTTTTAATAAGTTTTAATGTTCTTGGTATATTAATGACAGATAAATCTGAAAATATTTTACATTGTATCATTATGTACAATGTCTTTCCCAAATGAAAAATCAAATGTCATTATAATATTACACATATTCATATTATATCGCAAAGTTTAGAATGCTGTGTACATTTTAATATAAATTTTTTCATTTTTATTATATATATTGTTATGCAAATGTTATTTATAATAGGATTTTAAGATATATTCATTTATGTTCATAGACTTTTTTTTTATCAGACTTTGTATTTATAATGTTAATATTTAAGAATATATCTTTGTTTCTTCTGTGAATAAATATTTATATTATATATTTTTTTATCCATGTATTTTAATTTGTCTGTGAAGATTGATAACCAAAATATGCATATATTTATCAATTTATTAATGTATGTTTTGGTTAAAAATTTATGGTAGTAATAAAGATAAATAATTACATGCTTTATAAACAATTTATAGTTCATGAAAGAGAATAATTAATATTCTCATATAAAACAATAATATCAATTAATATAAAAACTAGTCCCTTTTCCAGCTATATTTAAGTAATCTATATCTTTAGATTATATTTTTAATAATTACACAAATCACTGCATTCTCCATTTGAATGTTAAGTCATCACATAAGTAATGTCATTTTTGTACTTAGGAAATAAAAAGCAATAGCTCACTTTTCTTTTTCTTTTGATTTTTCAATTTATGATATATTATGTTGTATATGAATTTACATTTGACTTGCTTATTTTATAAATTATTTTTTCTTTCGTTAAAAAGGAGCTGTATTATTTATTTCAATTATAGTTATCTTTTTATTAACTGTACAATTTTATATTTAAGATATTATCCAATTAAGATTTACATCAAAGTATGCAAATCTAAAAAATTGCAGAAAATTACTGTTTAATTTCCTAATTTTTGTATCTCAAGATTTGTTGTCTCAAGATTGTTTATTGAATTATTGATCATAAAATTATATTAATCTAAGTGAATTATTGAAATTAACTATTCCTTTTATGCGAAAATTATTTCTAGTGATAATTCAGCTAATAAAAGATAGCAAATTTTAATTTTTTTAAGGGAGAAGTTAATCTATCAGAAACAAGTTATTACTACTATTGTATAAAAATAATATAATAAATATAGTTTCTTGCTGTTTTTTTATCAATTCTCTTTAAGTTAATATTTTAAATATTAGGTACTTAATTGTAATTAATTGCTACAAAATTTAACTTTCCTGCAATATTTGTTCTTTACTTTCTTTCCTTTCTTGTATTTTTATTATTATTTGAATTTGAGAAAAATTGATCATATTTGAGATTTTGAATTGTACATATTATTGAAGTATATATTTTTTATGGAGCTAGTCAAATTACTATATATTTCCGTAAAATATATCAATGTGTTTAAAAGAATCTCAAATGGCAAATATTGAAATGACATGACTTATGAAATGACTTTATTATAAAAGAATCAATTTACGTTTAAGATATACATGAATCGTGTTTCATGAAATTATGCTCGGAATTTTTTAATGCATGGAAGAAAATTATATATAAAAAATTGTTTACATTGTGTATACATTCTATAAAGATATTTAAAATATGCTGAAATAAAGATATATGAATAAATATGTATATTATATTGATTTGTAAAATATAATCAATCTGTTTTGCAATAGCCACTATTCAAACCCGTATATAGATATTTATATATTTCAGTATCAACTTGTACAGTTTATTAATATTTTGTAAATTTTATATTACCAGAATTAATCATTTTAACAAACAAGAAGTTGAGATTTTGATAGATCATATTGAAGACCATTGCAAATAATGCATCATCTTATACAGATGCAATGTTTTATAGATTATAATTATTAAAAAATAATTTATATTATTTTTATGTAATATAAATCTTTTTTGAGGTATTATTTAATTTCAAGATAAAGTTCAAAAGTTCAAAGTGTTTTTTCTTACTATAAAGATTTTTAATACTTTATTGACGCTTACATATACCATATCACTTCATACAAATAAAATACTTATTCGACTATAATACTATAAATAAAATACTTATAAAACATATACTTAATTTACATAATTCTTCTTTGCATAACGATTTAAAATACAATAATTAGTTGAATAATATAAAAAATTATAATTTTAAGCAAAGTTTATTGTTTTCGTTTAAATTCCGGAAATACTTCGTACATCAGAACTTCAAAGATATCCTGTAAGTAGAAAAAGTGAATAGAATATAATTAACATGATATAGTTCGTCTTTTTTACTTGAGAATAACTTACATAGAATAATTGTTTATTTAAATTCACATTCTGTAAAGAATCAAATATTTTTATTGCACCACGTTGTGCACTTTGTGCTCCTACTAAATTTGTTAAGACATCAGGAATGTTATTTAAGAACTGTCTTCGTGCTTCGCCTCTCGTTTTTAGTTTTTCTTCGTCCGTACGAAAAGTTGCTTCAAAAACTAAATGACCATTTGGCCACCATGATTTCGTAAACAATTGTATATAGTAATGAAGCATTGGCTCTGAGAACACCCATGCAATAGTATCTCTGATTTGCCTGATGATTATATTTATTATATTATACTTTATGCCTTCATTATAAAAGGAATATTTTTTACTTTTACTTGGTACACACTGAATGCAAGGGATACTGATATTTTATTTCAACCATTAAAATGTCGATCAAAGAAAAATTCTAATAACAACACTGCTTTCAGACCTAATAATGTATCACAGTAACCATTTTAATCAAGGATAGATTTAAATATAAGATTTGAATTTGATTGAGATATAACAAGCATCATTAAAGCAAAGTAAATAAAATTTGGTTGTGTTGTAGCCTGATGAAATATTTGAAGTGAAGAAAATTCTTTCATCTATAAGTTTAATTAGCTCTGTAATGCATTACCCTTTTGTTCAATGTGTGTTTACATTTAAAACTAAAAACAAACCTGTTTATAGTTCGGCCATAGGTAATTTGAACGAAGGTAATTAACGACCGTCGAAGCCATCGAAATACTCCTCGTAGATCGAAAATTTCACCTAAAAGTGTATAAAGTGGTTCTGCTATTGCATCTTTATTAACATTAAAAATTCCGTCCGTGGCTGATCGACCACTATCTGTATCATCTAATAGCAGTGAAAAATCTTCTTCCTCTTCCTTATCACGCAATTCACTGTTGTTGTTAGATCTAAAACAAGTTGTAATTTAAAGAAATTAAACTTTTATAACAAATATACAGTTATTACCACATGAATTTCGAACTAAAGGAATGCAAGTGACATTTTTCAAATTTTTTACTTAAAAAAGAAATAGTTAGGTAAATCGTTAAATGTAATGTTGTGAACAATTTAAGTAATTCAACATTGTATAAAAGTATCTAGACTACTAAATAAATAATATTATTTCCCATATATTCAATAACTCATAAGCTAACAGATTAAATTTGTTGGAAATTTGTGCATATGATCCTGATGTTAAGAATTAAATATAATGTAACTTTTATAGAGGCTTCATGTGGAATTTTTGTAACACATTTGAATTTCAAACTCGATTTCCTTTATATCAGAAAAATGTCACTTGCATCCCTTTGGTTCTAGGCGTCTCAAATAATATAGCTACCTACGTTTTAAATAATGTCGATAAAGAGAATCGAGATTTTTTAGGAGAAGGAGGAGCATATTTCAAATGTTCTGAACTTGGACTAAGGAATGTATATAAAGCCTCGCTCTGATTCAATTTTTCATCTTCTAAAACAAACTAAGAACGTTAACAGTTAAGACGATTATCTAAACAATGCTTTACTACATTAATAACATTTAAGAAATTTACATTTAAATATTTTTGTATTTGCATTTTAGCTTTGTCCAAAGTATTTTTATCAGATTTTCCAAAAAATTTTAAAGGTTGCGAAGGTAAATCTAAATTTTTCACATTAGAACACAATTGGCGAAGTTTTCTGTGAAGATCTTGAAAATCTTGTAATTTTCTTAGTACGACCCAACCACTATATATACTTTCAGTGTTGTCTTCACCTTCTGTCATATGGACAACTAAAACAAACTGTGGAGATTCTCCATTATCTGGTACCTGTTTAACAATTATATTTTTAGTTAAAGCTGAATAACGAAAAACATTTTCTATTTAAATTATAATAGCTTGAATTTTGTTTTTACTTCTGCACTTTGCACTTCTGCTCTCCAATGACCCAAATGTTCTGCCCACATTTCTGTATGAGTTAAATGGGCTTCTAATTGCTTTTTCTCACTTTGTAACCATTCAACTTCTTTGGCCAAAAAGTTTAGAACCTTACTTTCTGGTTTTAACGAAGATTTTAATGCTTGTAAAGCTTGCATTTTATTATTTAATTTTTCTTGTAATTGGTCCAATTTACTGCGAGCATAGTTTGAATGTTCTCCAACGAATAAAGATATATTTTCTGATAATGTTCCATTTCCCATATGTCGATCCTCCACTAAGTCTAAAAATTACTTTTACATTAATGATGACTGATTATATTTTTAATATAATTATATTTTTATAATGAAATTTTTACACTAACCATCTACTCTTTCATTAAGCAATGCTTCTTGCATATTTTTATATTGATCACTAACCATAAAAGAAGGATAATACTTTTCTTCCAAAATTTTAACAACATTATCTTGAACTTCGTAAAATACATTTGGCCCTATATCACCTAACAAAAAGCTTTCCATTTTCTTACGAATAGCTCTGTCAACTTTTATTTCAGCTGTTGGAGATGTTATATAAGTGTAAAAGATTTCAGCTCCCAATTGATGCCAATTAGATTTATCTGCATTGCGTAATTCTTGTACAGCTGCCCAATACCCAATCAAATCCTGACTGGCAACTTGTTCGAGAAATTGAGAAAGGTATCGTCTACCTATCACATTGTCTAAGATATATTGCAATGGCAAAATTCTTTCTTCTGTAACTGCTGCATCGGTAACATCACTAGCCTATAAAATATTGTTCTTAAATATAATTGTTACTATTGTTTATTAAACAAAAATGATTTTATAACCTGAACAGGATATCCATTCCATCCTAATGATTGCATGTGACATTCACATGTATTTTTAGCATATGTTAGTTGACTGATATACCTCGTCAATTTTCGAGCTTGAATGGCATCAGACTTTCCAAATGCATTAGTATCTGGATCTAAACCTTGCGCTCTTTTAATATTTTGTATTGTTGTAGCTTGCATAATTTCAGTAACAATATTATATCTGATATGCTTTAAAACCTCTAGATCTTTAGAGCTTTTAATCATACGAATGAAGTCCTCAAATGATTCAGCATATTCATAAGTTTTCCTGTGCATTGCTTCTGCAAGTTGTTGTTGATCAATATATGATAAAATTTTCTGATTGATATAGTCTGGATTTGTTATTAAGTCTATTGCTGGTTTTAGTACTGAAGGAATAAAGAAGATAAAATGTTATAAGATGTAGATCAAATATATATTATGTATATATCCATAATTAAATAATGGTTCCGTACACTTACTTTTGCATGTAAGAATTTCCCTCAATAAATATTTCATTGGAGCAAGAGAATAACAAGGTGGCAACAAAAATAAGATATACAATTCACTGACCTTCTTCAAATAGTCTAGTTCGGCTGTAGGTGACATTAAGTGTGTAGATAAAATAAATACTGGATCTTCACCTTGTGTTCTATATAAAATACAAAATCTTTTTAAAAAGAATTATTTAACAAAGCAGAATTTCCATATTATATATATAAGATTTAAAAAATTGATATAATAAATAATATATAATATAGTTAATAATAATATAAATAATATAGTAAATACTATATAAAATATAGTTAAACTCACGAAGCTGTTTGAGCAAGTCTAATTTTTTCAAAATGGAATGTAATTTTATTTACTATACTACAAACAACTAGTTTTGTATGATCCACTTTTGATAAACGATCATGAAGAGTTTGAATTGCACCCCATGTGTCTTGCTTCATATTGTCAATTATTTGTTCAGAATTAAAAGCCAATTCATTTAACCAAAGACCAACAAAGTCTTGAAAAATTAAGTCCAATAAATTCTGCAAAGCTCCATCCACCATACGAGTAAAAACCAATGGATATCTGACATGTTTCTTAGTATTTTCAGTTTTAGCTACATACCCCTTCTGAAATAATCAATAATTTTTTAATTAATATATTTATAATGTATTTATATATATTTAAGTTAATGTTTAAATAATATTTTAAAATTCAATTAAAAAATTGATGAACATTGAAGTAAAAATAATCAGATATTTTTAAATATATCTATATATATATTTGTATAAATATAAGTCTTAGTATAATAAAAAATACTTTTATAATACAATATACATTGATAAAAAATACAAATCTTTACAAAATAAGAAAACTATTTTGATAGAATAATATTATAAAATATGGAATATGAACTCTAGTAAAATCTATTACACAAAATATAGATTAGTTGTCATAAGCCTTTGCCTGAAGTAAAACATATACATAAAAAAATTAAAGCTACACAAAATCTACAAACTATAAAATTATAAAATGATAATGAAAATGAAATAACGTTTTGACGAGAAGCAAACATAGGTAATATACAATTTTTTCTATTGTTTATTATCTTTATCAATAATTTCTTGATCTTTTGATATTGATATCAAAATTAATTTGACAAAGAAGTTTTATTTTCACAATACATAGATTATGAATGTTTTTTCTCTATCATTAAAAATTGAAATTTAATATTTTTTAATAGTAAAAATGAAATATCATGTATGTTCAATAATTATCGTCATGAAAAATTTGATATTAATAATATAAAACAAACCATCAACAGATTATGAAAGGCATCCATTTCTGCAATTGTTTTTGAAGTTGTTGCAGTAGTGTGATGTTTCAGAGAAAGAGCAATGTTGATGAATATGACAATCAAACATCCCAAAAAGAAGCAAGATATGGTTAGTAAAACAAAAAAGTAGCACCATAATAAATTATTCCAATAGAAAAGTGCGATTATAGCTGGAATATACAGAATGCCGGTCCATATCATCTTGAATTGTGATTATGATCACGTGATGATGAATATTATGTATTTAATTTCATATTTGATAAAGTTGCTCGTATAAACTGTGAAAAAAGAAACTGTGAAAATACAGATACTCCGTGATAAAAAAAATACAGATCAAATCATGCACTGGCGCAAGTGCAGGCGCTTGCTTATTCGCGTTCCAAAAGTTACTAGAAAGTTACCAAAATGTTGACAATTACATTATTTTGGAATGTTCCTTCTAAAATTTGTATAATTCTATTTGTAACGGTATTTAATATATCATCATATCCCTTCCCTTTGAAATATTTCAGTGTAGTGGAATAAAATCTGTTTCATGCGAAAACAAAATTTAAAATCAATATTGTAAGTACATATGATTATTACCTTCCATAGATCAAGTAGAAGTTTAATATATAAAATTTCCACAAATATTTTAATTTCCTTTTTAAAATTGTATGAGCATATAGAACAATAGAATTTTAACATTTTTATTCTGTATAATTCTTTAATCGTAATTAATATATCATTATATCTTATTTCTTTTGACTTGAAATATATTAGCTTAATACAATCTTTTTGTTTTATGCAGAAGTGAAATTTAAAGTGAATATTCACCACTTAATACATAATTCGTTATGTATACGGTAAAACGTAACTCAATTTACATTTAATTACAAATTATATTTAATTTGTTTTTATGTTTTTTTGTTTTGAATTTATATTTAAGATAGAGAAAATGTTCTTAGGTAATATAACGATATATTGCTTTAATTTAAGAAGGAAAGAGACAAATATATACTTCTAATAACAAAATTTTTTATTTTTATTATAACTAACATTTGTGAAATATGTATCAACATAATAAAATAGCACATGCTTTAAACAATGGTTTCTGATAAAAGTATAAAAAATTAACAAAAATTTTTGGTCAGTGATCGAGTTTTATTTATTTAACCATAAGTTATTTTTTCGTCATAAATAAGTTAGAACGACGCAGAAAAAAGTTGTGATAAACTTAGTTTTATGTACAATAACCTATTGCGTATTGCGAGTAGAAATAATGTCTACTACAAGATTAAACTATAATCTATAAAACGTTATAAACGTTTATGCAATTCTGTAAGACATATTGAAAAATTACATCTCGTTGGATAAAGTGGTCTTTATTCCTAAAGAAATTAAAATTTAGGAAATCTCAAATACATACTTCAAAGATTTTTATAGTATTATATAATTTTTAATTACTTAATATTAATTTCATTTTTTAAATCACATTAAAATGATTCTAATTTGGAATCGCTTTTAAATCAGAGGTACATTTCTTTCACAATTTATTTTCGTGGATTTAAATTATATAAATTATATAATATAGAAAAAATAATTTTAATAGTTCTAATGAAGTAAATAATTCTTTATTATATTTTCATAGTGTATTCGTATATTATACTTATATACCGTATTTGTAAGATATTTACCCTTATTAATTTATTACAAAACTACAAACACAATAACAAGGTCTATGTGAGGCAAAAAGGTGAATAAAACAGCAAAATAAAAATTGATATGAAAAATTCAAATTAAACATATCAATTAATACACTTTCATGCGAAAAATTGCAGAGTTGGACAAAATTATAAAAAGGAAAATGGAATTATCATAAAACAATAAATAGCAAATGCAAGGATACAAAGATCGCAAGGTGCGTGGCTTGTTAGAATCTTCTACCTATCGCATTTAAATTCTCAATAACTCATGCGTAAACATAAAGTGGGAAAAGTCTTCGTGCGGTATTTCCGCATGTCGTATTACGCTATACATATTATATTACGTTATACTATATAACGTTATTTTCCCTTATGTTATATTTTACTACTTTGTATTGTATTATATTACATTATATTACGTTATATTATGGTATATCACGTTACATTCTATTACGTTATATTGTATTTCGTTATATTATATCATAACACGTTATATTATGTTACATTATATTGCAATACATTATACTATATACCGTTATATTCTATTATATTATAATGTATTACATTATATATGTCGGAGATGAAAGGACATCGAAGCCTCCCTGTTACGCCGCCTAAAACATCTGCACGCCAGCCCGCGCGACCGAACAACAACCGGCCTGCGTAACGTCACTTCGACCCTCAATAAACCTAAGGACCCACCACAACTTTCACTTCCCTGTATTGTTTCGCCATGTGTCTTCAATCCGTTTGTCTTGAAGAATTTCTAAAACTTAAAAATATTCTCGAATCACAGTCGGTTTTTAGAGAGGTCCTTGGGTTTATTAGTCGCACTTAAAACACGGAGAAAGCGGGTATGCACCCATTAGGAAAATCCGAATAGCCCTCTAATAAAACAAGCTGGGTTTTCTTCACGAATACGGTTATCTATCCACCACGATGGTAGGAGACTTCCTACTCATCCCTTCGAGCAGTAGTGCAGGTCATGACCAATCAACACCGCGGTTCGTTACCCTCACTTTTCCTAACGAAAGTGGGAACAACGAATCCGCGTTCTTTAGGTGACAGGGATACATACACAACGAACTTTTTGTCCGTATTAGAAAAAGAGCGACAGTCAGTCTAAAACTAATGCCTAACGCGGCAGTCTACACATAGCGCGAGAGTCGCATACTTCACGCAAAGGGTAGTCTAAGCATAACGCGAGAGTCGGTCTCTGTATTGTCGAGCATACATTTCCTCTCCTAAATATCTTATAGTGCTACGTCCACTAATACATTAAATCCAATTATAAGAGCCCTGCTCTAACGTACATATCTATCGCAACATCGTGCGACAAGTTGTTATCTCTTTATCTCTCTTCGACAGTGTAATCTAAGTGTTGGAAATATATAATTTATAATTCTGTGAATCACAGTGTTATACAAACTCGATCATCCCTATTATCTCAACGGAAATCAGGGGATCGATCAATTCGTGGTGTCGATTGTTATAATCGTAACGGGAATTTACGACTCCCGTTGACGTCTCTCCTCGCGATTACGTCACCCCGCAATTGGTCGAATTTACACTCCCCTTTGGAACTTCGGGATAATCCCCTAACACCGTAATCAAGATTCTATCATAGGCGTAATTAAGCAATTGTCGTCTTTCGATCCGATTGTATTTGTTCGAGATTTGTGACAATGCGCTTGGGCTTGAGGCGACGTATAACGTTATACCATATGACGCTATACCATATAACGTTATACCATATAACGAAATACGTTACAACGTTATACCATATAACGTAATACGTTACAACGTAATACCATATAACGTAATACGTCATAACGTTATACCATATGACGTAATACGCTATAACGGTATACCATATAACATAATACGTTATAGCGTTATACCATATAACGTAATACGTTATATCGTTATGCCGTATAACGTAATGCGTTGTAACGTTATACCATATAACGTAATACGGTATAACGTTATACCTAATAACGTAATACGTTATAACGCTATAACATATGACGTTATACCATGTAACGTAACACGTTATAACATTATACCATATAACGTAATACGCTATAACGTTATACCATATGACGTAATACGTTATAACGTTATACCATATAACGTTATATTATATAACGTAATACGTTATAGCTTCATACCATATAACGTATTACGTCATGGCGTTATACCATATAACGTAATACGTTATAGCGTTATACCATATAACGTAATACGTTATAGCGTCTGTTACGACCGTTCGCGGAGAGACGCGGTCGCGAGGAAAACGCGTCAGCGAGAGGCGTAAATTCTCGCTACGATTCGGTGAATCGACGCCGCGAAGTAGTCGTTCCCCTGTTTCGGTTAAGAAGAGGTGGTTGAATGAATGACACAGTAGTAAGTTATATTTCACCGTTTATTCCACTAACTTATAACGTAGGTAGTTACGCTGGTGCGTATGTGCGAGATGAGTGAGTGACTGATCTGCGGGTGTGTATACTCGCCCGAAGGGTGTTGACCGTTCAAAGGATGTGAAATCAGTACCGTCTTGGGAGACGATGCTGTCTCGGAGGAAAGCTAAGGATGGTTGTGTCTAGCGCACGGGACCATCGGATTTGTTGGTGCCGATGTTAGTTAAGAGAGTGAGGGAATAGCCTTCGTTGTTAATTGGTTAAACGAAGGGTCTTAACCGCCCTCGAGAGAAAGTAGTTAGTGGGAGGAAAGTTGCAGCGTACGTGAGAAAAACTAACTTTGTAACTTTCCCTTGTCACGCCGTGTTAGACAATAGTCTTTGGAGATTCTTCGGAAACAGACGTTTTTTTGGTTTGGAGGACCTTTTCTAGGAAATCCATGAGATTTATGGCAGGTACTTGAAACTATGGAGGATACGCTGCGAGTATCCGAAGACATCTGGTTGCCATATTGCCCGCGGTGTGTGGCCTGGGCTAGGTAGAGTGTTACGCGACGTAACATCCTCCCCCCGTTGAGAGGGTACCGATCAAAAGTTCTGTAAGGTAAAGTTAATTGGAGCTGCCGCCCAACTCCATGTTGATTGTTGATGGCCCGTATTCTGCTGGATCGGCTTGGCTCGATGGTAGGACGAGCTGCGTGGCACCTCGATCCAAGATGCTCCTTGCCGTGTGAACAGCCGTCCGGATGATGCTGTCGTCCCCAGGGTGAACTTGGCGATGCGGCCGAAGGCCCGTTGCCTGGATGGCACCTTGTCTCCCTTGTAGTCTGGATCGCGGTCTTCCTCGTCGATGCCGAGCGATTTCCAGATGAAATTCACGACCCAAGAAGTGTCGTGAATCTTGCTTCTGGAAGTGTCGTTAAACACCTCGGTGATGCTTGGTGAAGATTCATCAAGCGCGGTGCGGCGGTTTGAGGTTGCCTGGGAGGCTGGACTCCCCCCGATGACCCGCTCGAATCGCATTCTCTTAGTGATGATCCTTGGTGGAGAATGACCGTTGGACGTCGTGATTGGGACTTGTCATGTGCTCGGTAGCGTTCCTTATGATTCCCTCAACTCCTGAAGTGGTGCTTGATCGGGTGGATACGCTGCCAACTGGATGCCGGCATGGTGAGGCTGTCCTGAAATCACGCTCCCGTAAACTCGTTAGTGCGTCACCTATTGGGAAGTGATCGGGAATGAGGATAGGGAGATCATTCGGATTGGGTGATACGGGATGGCAAATTTGAAGGGTTGAAAATCCATTGTATCTGCCGGCCGTCGAGAAAACTTGTGCCCCTTTCTGGGGTTCGTCGGACTGCTATGGGGTCCGAATTTCCAGCAACTCCCTGTTAACCTTGACGGAGTTGGTGCCGTTGTCTGTGATGATTTTCGCGCAGTATCCTTGCCGAGAGCTGAATCGGCGTAGAGCGGCTAGGAATGCGCAGGTTTGGTTATTTAATTCTTCCTCGTCTTCGATTGGTGTTTGGTCGATGAGCTTCGGTCGGTGCCTTTGTTCCACGATGCTCGAGATTCATGTGGAGGATGAGACTCTCGGTCTTTTGGAGTCGACTGGGTAGATCTCCGCGAAAATTCGGTTGTGCGTCTCGATCGATGTGTAAAGTGCTGTTGCGATGATCCAGGCGGAGATCGTCCATTAGAGATCGGTTGTGCGGCGAACGACCGCCCGACGATCGATCTCCAGACGACCGACCGCTCGTTGACCGACCGCTGGAATACCGATCGCTTGAATACCGATCGCTTGAATACCGTGGACTGACCTGAGTGAGCGCTCGGTGTAAATATGTGTGATGGCGTTGCCCGCACATGTGACATGAACCGGATGTGCATTGGGTGAGTGAATGACCTCTGCCTAAGCAATTTATACAGAGCGATACCCGTTTTACAACTTCGAGGCGTTTTGTAGCCGATTTGGCCTTAAAGACCTTGCAATATCCGAGTTCGTGAGATCCTTTGCAGGTCGGACACATCCACATCCGATCTGTAATGTGTGTTCGTTCATGCCGTACGTTTTGTCGGTGACGAGTGTGTTCATGGGTATCCCCATTTCTCATTGGTGTTGGAGCGTTCGTTTAATCGCCGTTTGTCCTTGTTTGTAAGAAGTCCATCAAGTGCGTGTATGACGGCATTTTCTTGTCTGGTAATGTACATTGCCATTTGCGAATGATAGCTGGGGGTAGCTTCGATGTAAGTAATTTGATAAGAATGGTGTTTGAAGTGATTGGGTCACCGAGGTTCTCTAACGCTTGGAGATTTATCTTGACCGAGAAAGTCATCTATGGCTTCGGGTGTCTCTTTAACTATTTTCGGATAGTCGAAAAGCAAGTCTAGGTGGCGCATGCAGATTTGACGGTGGCAGTCGAATTTTTCTTTAAGCACGTCGACGGCGCTTGCATAGTTTGACTCGGTGATGGCTAACGATTGTATACTTCGCGCGGCCTTTCCGGTCAAAGCGGATCGTAGGTAGTGAAATTTCAGCACGGATGTAAGTCGCTCGCTCTGATCGATAGTGGATGAGAAGGAGTCGTAAAACGAGTGCCAATTTTCGATGGCACCGTCAAAAGTAGGCAGGTGAATTTCCGGCAGTTTAACTGATGTCGTAACGTAACACGTTATAACGTTATAACATATAACATAATATGTTATAGCATTATACCATATAACTTGATACGTTATGTCATTGTACCATATAACGTAATACGTTATAGCTTCATACCATAAAACGTAATACGTTATAGCGTTATAACACATAACGTAATACGTTATATCGTTATGCCATATAACGTAATGTGTTATAACGTAATAGCATGTAACGTAATACGTTATAACGTAATTCCATATAACGTAATATGTTATAACGTTATACCATATGACGTTATACC